TCTATCTATCTATCTATCTATCTATCTATCTATCTATCTATCTATCTATCTATCTATCTATCTATCTATCTATCTATCTATCTATCTATCTAATCTATCTATCTATCTAATCTATCTATCTATCTATCTATTTATATATATATAAATATTTATATATATATATATATATAGAGAGAGAGAGAGAGAGAGAGAGAGAGAGAGCGAGAGAGAGAGAGGGGGGGAGAAAGAGAGATGGATAGACAGACAGACAGACAGACAGACAGACAGACAGACAGACGGACGGACGGACGGACGGACGGACGGATGGATGGACGGATAGAGAGATGGATAGATGGAACGTTTGTTTTAAAAAGTCTTTCTATAAAAGACGAGCTCTAACGAATTTAAAAGCACTAAAAAGTTGAAAATATGTTCAAAAATTTGATAGAAATAAAACATTCAAGTTTCATCAAAGATTCAATTCAGATCCTTTGGCTACATAGAGTGCTCATCTACATTGCTGCACAGTCTTTCTTTGGCTACATAGAGTGCTCATCTACATTTCTGAACAGTATTTTTAAGAACATTTAATTATTTTCTAGGTTTAATTGCTTTTAAAGTCTTCTTTGATATGAAGTCTTTTAAAAAACAAGTTTCATTTTTGTTGATCACTTTTTAAAAAAAAAAATGGAGATCAATACATCCTATAACAGTATCATTCACGAGGCCCGTCAATTCTGTACCGGTAATATGTTGATGCAGTGGCGTCACTAATAGTGGGGAGGGGAGGGGGTGTACGGGTCGCGTCGGATGACACCTCACACTCACGCTTCCTGTTGGTGACCAGGTGACCAGGTACTGTTTCGTAAACGACTTGTCTGCCAGGACAGTTCAATGCAATACAACTATTGAAATTTAAAAAAGAAAAAAAAAAACTTGTACATTTACAGTGCTAATGTATTAGCCTGTTAGAGACTAAGCTTTCTGAAACAGGAGAAAGTAAAGTTTTATTGAGAGTCATGGGGTGGGGAGGGGGTGTTGGTGGAGGTAGTGGGAATTCTACAACTAAGTGACCTTGACCACTAGATAAAGGCAATTTATTGAAAATATGTAAATGACCTAGAATAAACCCGTGCTGGCGGTCAGGGCCATCTGGCCCTCAGCACATGTGTAGCAGAAAACTGAACAGGTCTTGTATCAGTGAATGAAGGACGAGATACGCGAATACTACTAGTACACTGTGACAGCTGATCGTGTTGGACGGTCTCTGGACGCTATCTGGGCAGTCGTTGGAAGGTTAGGTCAGGGACTTGTTTATTGTTCTATTTACGGTAATACTTTCACTACCACGCCATCTCTCTCTCCTCTCTTTTTCTCTCCCTGTGGCTCTCTCCTTCTCTCTGGCGCTCGCCTTTTCTCTGTTTCTCTCTCTGGAGCTCGCTCGATTTCTCTCTCTGGCTCTCTCTGTCTCTCTCTATGGCGTTCCCTCTTTCTCTCTCTCCTTCTCGATATCCCGTTCCCTATTTCTTCAATTTTCTCTTTATCTCTCTCTATCTCTCTCTTGCTCTCTCTAACTCTCTCTCTCTCTCTCTCTCTCTGGAACTCTCACTATCCGGTTTTATCTCTGTCTCTCTCTTTGTCTCTCTCTCTCTCTTTTTTTGGCGCTCTCTCTGGCTCTCTCCCTTTCTCTCCCTCTCGCTATTCCTTTCCCTATTTCTTCAATCTTTTTTCTCTAACTCTCTCTTTCTCTCTATCTTTCTCTCAAAATGATGAATACATGTAAGTTATTAGATTTTCACTTGCTTTTATCTTTTCAATTCAAGTTCTTAAATGCGTCTCAATTTTTTTACATTTACTCAACTACATAGAACTATACTATTACGTCACAATGGAGCAGCGGCTCTCATTTTCATCGGGAAGTAGGGCGGAAATTGAGGGCGCCGATGAATCTTGATCGGTGGAGGGTCTGGGTCCTCCAGAAAATTTTTGATTATATCAAAATCAAGAGGGTTTTTTTTTTTTTTTTTTTTTTTGAGTATATTTGAATTCAATGTTTTTATTTTACTTTCTTAACAAGGGATGGTATTTTTAAGGTTGTGTTGAAGGCATTGTGGTGCCCAGTGCCATACAGGAACTGAATTCACTCAATTTGTGGCGTGCCCCAGAGTACACATTTGACACAAGCTTATTATCAACCCCATGCTGTACCATTGATCTGAGTGAGTGAAGGGGTGCAGAAATTTAGGGTGCTTAAGACAGTCAGGCAATCTAAAAATTCAGAGGTGCATTTTGGTACATACTTGAATTTGTTGTTTCTTTCAGACAATTTTGAGGTTGTATTTCAAACTTTGGGGTGGGGAGTGCCGAAATAAGCCGTAATAATAATCAAAGACATCTTAAATTCGGCTCCAGTGAGACGTAATCTATATTCATTCTAGTTGCGTCCCTCTTGAACTTCACACTCAGATATATAGACTTATAACTAAAATTTGGCAGGAATAGAAAATGCCAACAGAATGGGAAAAAGCATAAATAACCCAAATACACAAGAAAGGCTCCAAACTTCAGTGCACAAACTTCAGAGGAATCTCCCTATTAAATGTTTCTTACAAAATACTGACAGAGCTAATTCCCAAAACACATTTATAAAAATGTAATCAGGCAAGTTGTAACAACCAAGTGAAACTTGTACCCTAACAAAAAAAAAAGGCTGGGTAGTTCACATGTCATCTGTGGCGCCCCAACGGTCCAAGGACTAAGAGATATGATGATGATAACGATGAATATCACCTATTAAATCTTATAGTCCCAGAAAATTTTTGATAAATTAAAAATACAAGAATTCATTTTATTACAGATCTGAATTTTGTTTCGCAACATTCTACACCTAATTGGAGCGCAACGGAAGAGATACTATTTTAAAAATGTAGGTGCCACATGGCCTTAGAACCACCGTGTGTGCCCAGCAACCGCTACGAAGCAGGGTACCTCGGATATTTTAAGGGTTTAAAGATGTGATGATGATATTTTCTTAATTATCATCTTTTGTCAGTCAAAAAAAAAACACAACAACAACTGTTAATTAGAAAGGTCCATACATTTTTATGGGTTTAGAAAACTAGTCTTTTTTTATCAATCGTACATGAATAGCCTAACTATTTTAGGAAGTCATGAGTTGTTAACAAAAGACATTAGCCTATGTAGGCCTATTTATTAATGTGTGATTTTATCTAAGGGAAATCGTAGGCAAATAAAGTATAAATTTCCCAAAATTCAGTTGAAATGTTTATTTGTAATATCAAAATATTATACCTTTTTTCAAATTAATTCCACATTGCCTATTAGATGTACTTTAAAACACTTTTTTTTTAAAAACCGAATCCACAG